ATAATTGAATCATTTAGGTCATTAATATAAGAATTGAAAAGAAGAGGAGACATGCTTGAACCCTGTGCAACTCCTGAGGATAAAGGAAGGTAGGCAGATAGAGGTTGATTAGGTATGGAAACATTATATCCTTCTTACTGCCGATATCCCTGTCCATCCCGATACCTTCCTGTCAACATTTGCTGATGACACCGGCATCCTATCATCCAACTCAGATCCCGAAATAGCATGTTTAAATCTGCAAAGAGACCTCTACCTGATTAATAGTTGTAATAAATGGTGCATCAAACTAAACGAATCTAAATTGAAACACATTACCTTCAGGCTTCGGCACAGATCCTGTCCACCAGTCCGCTTTAATTCCATCCAGCTTCCTTTTCCAGACACCAGTCCGGTATCTCGACTTTTTCTTAGATCGAAGACTAACGTGGAACCCACATACTAGACTTAAAAGACAAGAACTTAACAGACGATACGGCCAATTATAGAGACTACTGACTAGAATATCTCAACTTTCAATTGATAACAAATTACTGATTTACAAGACAATCCTGAAACCTATCTGGACCTACGGACTTGAACTGTGGGGAACTGCTAAACATTCGAATATCAAAACGCATCCAATCCTTCCAGTCCAAAGTACTTAGAACAATAATCAATGCTCCATATTATGTCACAAATAAGACCTTAACATCCCATTTGTCCTCGACATCATCCCATCCAGATTCTCAAACTTTCACCAGAACCTTATCCATCATCCAAATCCTCTAGCTCAATCCCTATCCAGCTCCCTTCATCCCTACAATCCTCCATGAAGGTTAAAACGGCAGTGGCCCAGAGATCTCTTGTAAATATGCTTCTGGAGTCCTGGCAATGGCCAGCTTCTCCACTCATGTCCCGAGCATCTGTGGCTCTAGTGCCCTCTTTCAGTCTCCACTGGCTTCTAGTGATGCGGCTGGAAAAGTGGCGCTGGGATCTCCTGGAGTCTTGCTTTGCCTTACACATGTGGGGGGAAAAGCCTGGCACGGAGATTCCAGAGCGAATGTATATATTGTATATAGGTATGATTGTGTTTAGAAGTTTCTATTTTATGTTATTTTTACTTTTTTTTCTTTTATTTACTTTCTTCATCAGTATTATTTATTTACTTTTTATATTTATATGTATTTCTCTATTATTTGTGTATATTGTTTGAATGAGAACTCTTAGTCCTAATACTTATAGCTCTCCAGCAGTGGCTGATTGTATTATTATTCAATAAATAGATTAAAAAAAAAAAAATATATATATATATATATAATAATATTTATAGTAGAGGAGATCCCTCATCCCTACTCATCCAGCTCCTTATAAGCCTCCTTCGGGTGCTATCGGGCTTGATAGTTGTGGTCATGTCTCGAATCAATGTGTTGGTATGTCCATGTATGTTATTAAGAAATATTTCGTAGCATGTTCGTATATGGTCGTTAACTGTTGGCATCTGTAGGTCTTTATGTAAATTTTTTTATTATTAAAACACTTTATTCAGAAATATTACAATTTGTCACAGTTAAGGACACTTATAATAGAGTTCAGAGATTGCATTCATACCGTATATACAAAAATATAAATAAATAAAGTAATAACAAAAGAATAAGAAGAAAGAACAAAAGAGTAAAGAAAAAAAATAATATATATACACATAAGTAAATAAAAATAGAAATAAAAGTAAAACAAACACCTTATATAAAACATACATTATTTACAATTTGCCAGGTGATCTCCGAACCAATCCTGTCCCCTCCACATGTGGAGGGAAAAGGGAGGCCTAGGAGATCCCTACGCTTCTCCCTCAGCCACTTCACTGGTATTTTAAACCAGCGGAGGATGAGTAAGAGCGCTACAGCCACAGACACTCATGACTTGAGTGGAGAATCTGGCCATTGCTAGAACTCCAAAATATCCATATTTACAAAAGGTCTCGTGGCCACTGCCGCTTTAACCTACGAAGGGGATTGTAGGGATGGGTGGTGCTTGATAGGGATTGTACAACGGGATTTGGGTGATGAGAAAGGTTCTGGTGAAATTTGGAAAATTTGGCTGGGATAAGATCAAGAATAAATGGGATATTAAGGTCATGATGTAGGGTTTTATTGGTTACATAGAAGGGAGCATTTTATGTAAATTAATGTTACTTTCTTACCAAGGAGCCTTTGTGATATTCCTGAAAGTTTTTGATTGAAAAGTCTGTAGTTTATGTATGCGAGTCTTTTTGGCGTCCCCGTATATCTGTGAAACGCAAGTAGAAATGGGCTTGAGTCTTTAAGTATACGTGTTCAATTTCTGTCTAAGTTTTAATTTCGAATTTCATGAAAGGAGTGAGTATAATAGTCGTATTCTTATGTTTAGAATTTTGGTTTTGTTCTTAATATGTGTGCCCGATGTCATTCTTCAGTCAAAGGTCAGTCCAAGATATTGAACTTTGTGGAATATTAACCTAATAAATTAGATAATACATGCAAATAAAATCATTATATTAAATAAGTAGAAGAACCATAAGGAACATAAAGAAAAATAATATATTAAAGTTCAACTTTGATATTTTGAAGTGTTTAAACAGCTATCTTTTGTTTTTAAATAACAGAAACGCCGAATTCAATCGTGGTTTTGAACAGTAATGCTGAGTCGGCGCCAAAGAAAAATTGATCCACCGTATTTTATTTACGACAATGACATGATAAAAATAAATTGAATCACCTGCATGAATGTTTGCAAATTGAGGTTTGAAATTAAGCGATAGTTGATAACGAGTGGTTTCTGTGACTGTCGTGTCATTATTAGAACTGCTCTTCTGAAATTTATATCCTCATTGTACCAAGGTAAATCGTAGATAGATTTCAATAGTTCGTTATTCTGTAAAGAAAAAAAAAACAGTTTTATAAACAAGAATGAGTTCGAAGGGCTGATGGCAATTAGTTTCGAATGAATATTGTTCATATTATTCTTAATACGAAATAAAATGTTTATTTTCTGATCCTCCATAATTTTTATTTTCCAACTATTACATACATAATTAAAATATAAAATACATATATATCTCTGTCTAGTTTGACTTAAAAATAAAATATATATGATATATATTATATAAAATATATGAAATAAACTATAGTTTCATTGAGAAAATGGAAACGAAAACTGTAAACGTAAATGGACTGTGTTTTTTTTTAAGTGAAAAATTCTTAATGCGCTTTTTGCACTTTTTATAGAGCGTGAATTAGATTGATCCGTCAGACTTTAACGCTCGGATAAAGTCGGCTGTAGTCGACTAATTGAAATGTTTTTACATATGGTTTAAAATATCTCAGAAACTAAAAATCGGACCTGCATACTGTATGCGAGGAAATTGTTCAGCATTTCATCCTCTATGTAATAAGCTATAATTTAACATTGTATCTTAACTCGACGCCGTGTTGGGGAGGCGAAAAGGAAAAAATATTGTCGAAAACCAAATGCTAACGAGTTTAGTTAAATATATAGATTAAAATAGTTCAGATATTTAAATTCAGACCTGTATACTATAAGCAAGGGAAGTATTAAGCGTTTCATCTAATTTGTTCAAGGAACTATTATTCAATTCATTAATATTCATTAAGGGAATTTTTAGCCTGATCTTGCTTTTATGTCTGTATTTTATGTAATAAACTTTGTTATTATTCTTAACAATTTCTCATTAAACTAATTAATCCTAACTACAATACACCTAGAAACATGGATTAGTAAAGATACATAAAAGTGGTGCTCCATTTAGTCTAATCATTAGTAATATCAATAGAGAAACTGAAATATTTGGCTAAATATCTCTGAGCTATTATTTATAATTTGTATTTCATATTATTAAACTCCCCTTATTGCTGTTTTGACTTCTATCGTATGGTCCAAAGCACGCATCTTAGATTTTTTTTTTAACTTATAACGTAAATGTTCTTCTATTTTTCTCATGTACAAATAAAATAAAATAAAGATTATTAGATAATATTGCTTGTATCAGAGGATTGAAAGTAATAGTTATTTTTGTATGTCATGAATAATTGTATTTTTTTTTCTTTACTGTGGCACATATATATCGATTCATGCGATTTATTCTTTCGGTGTAATACATATTTAATTACCAATTCCATATATTGTATTTATGTATCATTTCTCCCCATTATATTTTTTTTAAATATGACCAAGCAGTATATATTTATACATGCGAAGAAGAACTGGATTAGAAATATTCTTAGTATTAGAAATATTAAGGAAAGAAGATATGGGCATTGTCCTCCCTCTTTGCCTTCAGTGTTGCTTTCTTTTCCACAATGATTTTGGACATTGCCACGATGTATTTTTCTGTGTACATTTTCATGTTCAATCAACTAAAAAGTAAATCAAGTAAATTATAATAATTAAATTAAACAATAGAGCATTGGATTGTTTTATTTAGATTATATTTTTAAAAATTATATTAAAAAATAATTAAGTAAGTAATCAATATTTCATTCAACAGTTAAAGATATTTAAATACAACCACATTGGTTATAGACATTTAAATAATTCTGTATTGGTTAAAGACATTTTAATTGAGATAAAAATAGATATGTGTGTTACTACCTCAGTTTCCAACTGTTCTCCGAAATAACACAAAGCCAACAAAAGGGACCCAATAATTATTATCGCTGATATACCCTGTACTTTAGCCGCCATGCTCCCGCTTTCGTCCTATAATTTAATTAGTTATAGGTTATGGGTAAAATACTTTTAAAATATAATTGTTATCATACTGAAATATGGTGGATACTCACTATCGTTATGATACAATAAAAACTGAAGCAGAGCGTAATGGCGAATGTAGAGTTATGTATAGCAAGTGGGAGTCCTAGTGTTTTGGTCATTGCATTCAGAATCCTGAAAAGACAAAGGGAAACAAAAATAAAAATAAATAAAATTGTATTATTAATGTTTATAATTATTATATTTTATAATTACTCTAAGATCATCTGGTGCTGCGTTATAACTTCCCTCAGTAGTTTCTTCGTTTCGTTTTCATAACCGAATTTCCTTTCGGTCAAAAGACTTTTAATTATAAAGAGCTTATTGATGATAATTTTCAATTCAATTTTAGTGTACATTATTGGTATGAAAGTCAGAGACTCTGACCCTATGTGGATAGTTATCGCTTCGAAACACCACATAAGCACCACAACCGTAAAAGCGAGCTTTTCTAAACTCCGTGGTTCCAAAAAGTCCATCAACCCTTCGCATGGCAAGTGAACTGAAATAGAAATCCCATCTGGAAAGAATATCCCGATGAAGAAATCCGTCAAAGACGGTATGACCAGAACGAATACAACATATGACGTCAGGATACAACTGAACTTGTGTACATCATCCCAAGCATCTTTGGAACCTGTTTCGAACATTCTTCGTTCCCAATCTTCTTTGTGCTCCTTCTGGAGCTTCAAGGTTATATCTAGCAACTTCTTGACTTCTTCTTTTCTGAAATAGTATATTATGTGCTTAATCGCGTTGGTGGCGGTGAGGACAGCGAAATTGGCTGCACCTTCGAGGCTCCTCTCTAGCCCGAGGAAATAAATCGAGACGGCGCAAGTAATGGACATGATCGAATTAGTTATTACGATAAATGTTTGCCTGAATTTTGATTTAGGATCGCTGGATATCAAAAAAGTGTCTTCGAGAACAGTGGGCAAGTCTCCGAGCTGCGACCTTATAACTTTCACCATTATTACTCTTAACTACTCCAGCTTTCAGTTCGTGCTAACGTGAGGGTTGAATACCTCTCTGTCGGAACTGAACTGGCTGAGAACTAATAGATCAACAAATTGGAGGATCTATAATTGGTCAGAGAACTAAGTTCTGTTACCTTGAGAAAATTGCTTACCTGGCCAAATTGGAAAGAAACTTTCCAGCACCCAAATGGATGCTAATTATCATAATTGATTGTGGTAAAACAAATCATCCTTTGATTTTGGTTATTTATTAATGTGATTGGTTTCCAAGTAAAGATTCCTCGTTTACAGAAGTTTATATGTGTTTCACAGGGCAAGTAAACATGTAGAAGACATTTAGTCAAATTATTATTTTAATTTACTTTTAATTGGTTCAATATTACATTTTTTCTCACTGTTATATGCAAGTTAAAAAAGTAGACTACTGCTAATCGAATTTTCCCCTTCTTCTCAAGTTCAATTCTATAGAATCTGTAACCATTATTAAAGAAATTGATTATAATCTATATTTTACACACACCCCTGTGATTAATTAATGTTACTTCTCTTATCTTTTGCCATCGTTTCAATCGTTTTATTTATGTTTTCTAATGAATATAATATAAAATAACCTCTATTTTTCACATATAAGTGTCATTCCATTTTAATTTAGCTGTATTATGACATCCTACATTTTAGATTTTTATGAAAATTGACATAATTGTTCTATTCCTTAATATAATTAAGCATCTGATTTTGTTTGATCTATTTCTAATGGTTTAGATTTTGGAGTATTTCTATTACTACCACTCAGCTGCTCAAAATTATTTTTTTTTTTTTTACCGATGAAATTTAAATCATATCTTTCTCAGTTACTAACATATTTATAAGAAATGTTCTGTCAGTATTCATAAATATGCTATAAAACACACAAAAAAAAATCTGTTAAATTTTTATTTGGGGTCAGAATAAAATCTTGAATATTTTTTTTTTTAAATTACAAAATGCAGAGTTCTAGAATAAATGGAACATATCCGAGCAAAAAAAATCTTTAAAAATTGTTTTTTTACTGATGTTATAGAAGACATACTCCACCCCACTAAATAGACAAAATATGGCATATTTTACTACTTCATTTTTTTTTTCTACTTGAAAATTAAAAATTTATTAATTTACTGTTTCTATTAAAAGTTATAGAAATAATAATTTATCTAATGGAAATAAAATTGAATAGGTCTATTTAATTTTATTTTTTTTAAGTACATGTCAATATGCCAGGAATCATTTAAAAATAAACAAAACTACAATGTTTATTTAGGATCAGAAAAAGATCTCAAGGTGTCATGTGTTAGAATTTCTAAACAAAATTCAGTATTCTATGATAAATCGGACATTTTTAAAAGGGAAGAAAAACATGAAATAAGTATATTTTATTTTTTTTTGTTATAAGTGATATGTTCAACCATATTTAACAACAAAGTTATTGGATATTTTTTTTTTCTCCTCAAAAATTACAATTTATCAAATAGAACTAACATTAGATAGGTTTATTTTAATGTATAAATCGGTTAGGTCAAATACTACCTAATATGTTTTAGATGATTTTACCATAGAACTTTTCAATATTGCCAAATAATGCTCAGTAGGGGATTTGACCGATTGACTAGGGTATCATAGTAGGTTTTAAAGTGATCCAAAAGGGTTTTAGTGGCAAATTTGATATTAATATGTGCAAAAGTTGGTTGGTTAAATTCATATGACCAAAAGTCACATTTTTATAAAATATTTTGCTATTCAACTATAATGATATTTTGTTATATTTTAAAAAATTTATAATAAATAAATCGTATTCAGAAGGTTAAAACAAATATAAGAAAGAAATCCGGATAGCCAGCTTTATTGAACAATTTATTTTTGGATTTTAATTTTTTATAATAACAAATTTTAAGCAATTTAACAAATAAAAAACTATCGAATTTTTTTCTAAAAGAAGCTTTAAGAAATTGTAGTAAGATATCGTTCAAATGTGATTTCTAAACATAATTATTCATTATCTATTTCTTTTACTATATAATAGAATGGTAAAGTACCTCTGGTGACAAGAGTAATGTAATCACATTTTAATCATTTTTTTTATTATTTTATTTATTTATTTAGAAATATAATAATCTGGCACGTGGACAATAATTATTGTGAGATATGAACATATTCACTCCATATATACAGAAAACATAAAACTAATAAAAGTAAAATAATAATAAAAAAACTATGCACAATAAAAAATAAAATAACCTAAATCTAAGTAAATTAAAAACATAGAAACACAGGCATACCTGTATACAATATATACAATCAGACAGAGAGCCTCAAGCCAAGCTTGTTCCTCCAACTATAGAGGGAAAAGCAGGACTCCAAGAGAACCCTGCGCTACTCTCTCGACCACATCACTGGTGCTAAAGCTACATACACTCATGTCTTGAGTGAAGAATCTGGCTACTACCAGATACTCCAAGATATATACTACGAAACATCTCTGGGCCACTGCCGCTTCAACCTTCTAGGAGGATTGTAGAGATGAGTTAAACTAGATAGGGATTGTGCATGGGAATTTGGATGATTTGTAAGCTTCTGATGAAATTTGGAAAAATTTTCAGGGATAAGCTCTAGGACAAATGAGGTATTAAGATCAAGCTGTAGGGTTTTCTTGGTTAAATAGAACGGGGCATCGACTATTGCTCGGAGTACTTTGGACTGAAAGGATTGAAAGCGTTTGATGTTAGAAAATTTTTCTGTCCCCCAAAGTTCAAGTCTGTAGGCCCAAAAAGGTTTCACTATTGTCTTGTAAATCAGTAATTTGTTATCAATTGAAAGGTAGTCTCTATAATTGGCCGTATCGTCTGTTAAGTTCTTGTCTTTTAAGTCTAGTATGTGGGTTAGTCTTCAATCTAAGAAAAAGCCAAGATACCGGACTGGTGTCTGAAAAAGGAAGCTGGATGGAATTAAAGTGGACTGGTGGACAGGATCTGTGCCGAAGCATGAAGTTAATGTGTTTCAATTTAGATTCGTTTACTTTGATGCACCATTTATTACACCTATTAATCAGGGAGAGGTCGCTTTGCAGATTTAAACATGCTATTTCGGGATCAGAGTTGGATGATAGGATGCCGGTGTCATCAGCAAATGTTGACAGGAAGGTATCGGGATGGACAGGGATATCAGCAGTTAGAAGGATATAAAGGACGAGGTCCAAGACGCTACCTCGAGGAACACCGGCTTCAAGTGTACTGAGTAAGGAAAGTGGAATGGGTGATGTAAGGAATTCTACTGTTGTAGTATTGGTGGGGTTGGATTCCCGATGAGAGGTGAATGTTCTGGAGAGGTGTCTGGTGAATTCTTCAGCTTTGTCTTTTTCAGACACTGCCCAGGAGCCATCACATCATCGGAAGAGATGGGAAATATGATGGGATTTTAGTATTTTGTTGGTGATCTTCCAAAGGGAATTATCATAAACAGAGAGGGAAGTAAGATAAGAGTTGGAGGATTGGGATTTGAATTTGGCCAATTCCTTCTTTAATCATTTACTGTAATAATTATAGGAGCGGCAACCATTTGGACGTCTTGAACGTTGCCCTTATTATGACAGAATATTTTTTGGCATGGCGTTTGATGTAAATTAGGTCTATTAGATATAGAGGTAAATTATTTTTTTAGGGATTTTTGAGAAGAGATTTGGAGATTTTAATTTATTATTATGAAAATACCGTACCTATCTACTGAATACAAGGTTTCCTTATAAGGAAGTTTACTTAAGTAGGTGTATTTAGTCAAAATCATATATAATGTACTAAAGAAAAACTGAAAGTAGATTTGTAGAATAAGAAATAGATTTTCAAGTCCAAACAATTTATTATGATTTCTTCCAATTCTAATGCATTAAACTGTTGTATTCAATCAATCCATATTTCAGTAAATAAAAGATAATGTTTCTTCTAAATTGTATATCGATTTAGTAAAAAATAATATTTGTATATCATTACATTACGTTTTAATGTTAAAGTATTTTTTCACCCTAATTATGCATATTTTAATAATATTTATCAATTTCTATTAATATAACTGTATTAATATATAACACATCAATTCAAATAAAGGCGAAAACGGATATAATATTTTTTACAAACACATGAATAGGATGAAGTGGGGTAAGTGCAACCACGGGACAAATAAGGTCATGACTGATTTTGGTCCTAAAATATAACCTTGCTGGTTGCACTTGCCCCATAGTAAATCTCTTGAAAAAGCTAAATATAATCAAGAAATCACAACAAAACTTGATTTTTAAATTTTACCCATTTTTTCTATCATCCCCATGTTGACCCACAAAAAAGTTTGTATCTCTCAAAGGAATTAAGATAAAAAACATGAAAAAAATAAATGCAGAATTAGTGAAAAACAAGCTATGATACACTTGCCCCACTGTCATTTATATTGTCTCTTATGGCGGATCATAGAGTGAGGTTGTACTTTTTTTTTTTAGAAGAATCAACTTTATTCTGGAATGAAGTCCTTTGAGAATAACAATATTGTACATAAAAATTAACATAACATCTGGCCAAAATGCATATTACAATAAAAAAAAAACACAAAAAAAAAAGTAATAACAGAAAGATTTACATAACTATACTCATATATGAGCAATAAGGTCCTAATACTGAAAAATAGTTACTAAAAACAATAAACTATGAAATTTTAAGTGAAATTTGAAATGAACCACAAATTACATTTGTTGTCATACCGTTGTATTAATGAAACAAAAAATAATAAAAGAGTGGATAAATATTTACTTTAAATGATTTAGATATGCACCTTAATATGTTCAAAGAATACAATAATAGTATTGTAGACATTATACAAGTCCTATATAATCTAAATCCTAAGATGTAGATTGATCAGTGAAAATAAAAGAAAATATACGTATAGACGAGATTATATACATACATAATATACATGATAAATGGCTACCCAGCACCTGATTGAATTGTAAGGATGAATTGGAATAAGAGGGTTTTAAATATGGATAAGGATGGTACATGGCGGATTTTAACTGGGATGGAATTCCAAAAGGTGGTGGAGCGGACAATAAAGGAGTGTTGAAATAAGGCCAACTTGTGGAAAGGGGTATAATGGTCAGAAGGACGAGATCTTGTGGAGAGTGAGTGGATAGATGATTTGAATTGAATGAGATTGAATGCGTAGTACGGAAGATGATTATAGATTATTTGGTAAAAGTATGTACCTAAGAAATATTGTCTTCTGAAGGAGGGAAAGAGCCACCCTAACTCAGCTTAACAAGGATACTTGGGGTAAGTGCAACAAGTGGACATGAAAATTAAAAATTTACAGAAAATGATAAAAATATTTTAATTACAGGATATTGTTACCACATAATCCTAAGAGTTGTATTTCCATATCTCTAATAGTTACCTCACAGTAACGGATAAATAATGAAAAAAAAAATAAACCTGGTTGCACTTACCCCACTTAGCATTGATTATATTCAAATATTAATAACTTCTGAAATGGAACGAGGTTGAATTGAATGTTTGGAAATCACATTTGCACTATACTTTACTATGAAGCCCCTTGTCCAAAACAATTCAATGCATTTTTTTATTTGTTATATAGCTTAAAATTTATCATTATAACAAATTGAAATCGAAAAATAAATTGCTCAATAAAACCGGTTATCCAGATTGCTTTCATCTTTTTTTAACATTCTGAATACAATGTACCTGTTATAAATCATTTAAAAATATAAGATAAATGACATTATAATTGAGTAGCAAAATATTTTATAAACATGTAATTTTTGTATTATATAAATTTGAATGCCCAACTCTTTATCATATTAATTAAAACTTTACCATTAAAACCTTTTGAAATCACTTTAAAACCGGCTATGATAAACTAGTCAATGGGCCAGACCCCCCTATCATGCACCTCCCTCTCCCTTCTCATATTTCTGTAAATTGCATACCATTTTGTTCCTTGTAACTATTTATAAAAAAAACAAAAAAAAAAACAATGTTCCCACAAAAAAAATGGCCATATCGCCCTGAAATTGTGTCCAAACATTTTACATTATTCTTTTTAAGTAAGTAATTTGATAAATTTTCCTTCTGTGAAATCAAAACATTGCCAACTTAATATAACTAGTTTTGTCACTTCATTTGGTTAGTGTTATTTTGAAACAATTAACATTTGTGTAAATAAATATGTTAATTCACAAATATGTACTTAAAAGTATACTATGTGACTTTTTGCAATAAATCCACAACATATTTTGTCAAGCTATTTACTTTTTTATGTGCACATGTACTTCTTATTTTTTTTTTTTTTTGTCTTATGAATGGATCTATGAAATATTTATCTCAACCTTATAAAATTTTATAAAGACTTTTGTATATTTTAGTTGTGATAACAATTTAAAAATACACATACATTATGTGTGAATGTTTTACTGATAACTATGCAATCATAGTTCTATATTATCAGGCATGTTGATTGATTCTATTATTTTTCTGTTTTGATTAGGTATATATCCTAAGTTTTTTTGTAATTAAAATTACATTCAATCACTATCATTAAGGTCTGCATTGTTTTTTACATTTGGATTTTTATAATAGATTCTAAGTTGAATTATTTTTATTCAAAATATTATGTACCTTATTAGGCACAACCCATTATATATTTACCTATATATGCACAGTAAGTGACAAGCATCAGCATTATTTTAGATTAAATGTATTCTTACCTATTACTAAAACACTCAAATCAGATTATCCGGCAATCAATAAATTAAATCAACGTTTAATAATATATTATTATTTCAAACCAAAATAACATTGCACCCTTTTTAATATTAATGAACTAGAAGATATTTTACACATTTCTGTCCGGTGGCCAATTTTTAAATCTTACCACTATTATTACCTTCCTCATTCTGTCAAAATGACCAGGTCCAGTTGTTTAAAATTGACCAGGATATTATTTCAAATTGACAATGGTGACTTCATTTTGAACTTCTTTTATTATAGCAAGAAATGTATATTGAGGTCGGTTATTATCAATAAATAGTATACCGATCTGAGTATAACAAAATAGTCTAAACTTGTGATATTTTATATTATATGTTGTTATTATATTTTTTACTTATGTTATAAAAAATATTAGTATGATATCTATTATTTATATTGAAATTATTACATTTCATTTATATTTTAATGAGTTATGTTATATATTATATTATTTTACTATTCTTTATTGTATTATACTCATGATTGCTTGTCTTTGGTTTCTTTTTGGAGAAGATGTAATGTAACTCAATGAATTGTTATTTTCAAATTAGTTGTTAAAGGTTTGATTTAAATATATTATAATTATTTTGTATTATTGTAGCCAACTTTATTTACATGAGCCACTCCTCAAAAGCAAATGAAAATATACATTCATTCATGTTGTAGTTTCTCTTTAAATTTTCTTTAATATATCTTATATATTTGTAGCAATATTTCAAAATTTTAATTCTTAAACAATATCTCTACTGTTCATTACTTCTATTTTATCCTTTGAACTAATTTTATAATTGTTTTTCTATTTACCATTACATTTTATTTTACTTCTAAACTTTTTTTTTTTTAATTGATGTACTTAATGTGATTTATAATAATGTTATAGGTTCCATTGTATTGATATCACTTCTACGTAACCTGTTTTGAAGAAAATTCAATTTCTCTAGTAAAATTCGGTGAAATTTAATAATTACTTATAATATGAAATTGTTAATCAGTTAATTTATATTATTTTTGTAATAAAGACGCTAACCTATCGACAACCTATATCTGTATAAATATTAGCCATGGAAAATGGTAAAGAAAAATAGAAAATGGGAGATCGATTTATTAATAATTATGCTGAAGATGCTAATTGGCAGGGAACACTAATAAACATGCATGAGGTAATAATAGTAAAACAATAAAATTTATTTTTCGAAAAAATTTACAAATGTCTTTTGATTGTATATATGTAGTATATATATATATATTGTAAATGTAATCATCATTAGTTAACTTCCCCTGCAGGATTAACATGAATGCTTGATTGGAGAAACATCTCAGCAAAGACACTCCTACCGTGAAGTTCTTATGTAGTAGATCCCAGCTCCAGAGACATTTAGTTCTCCTTGTTGGATGTTGTGGTAATGTGTCCATTAGTAATGTCTGTACATATGGATTTGGATGTCCAATGAGTATGGCATGAGGTTTTTTTATAATATTTCTTTATTATGTTATTCACTTGTAATATTTGTAGGTATTTATGAAGTTTTTTATTGATTACATAGATGGGACAATGAGAGATATGTCGGGGATATTTAGATTGGAAGATTTGTATAGTATGAAAGTGTGTTTTTTTCATGAATCACACACCTGAGCGATATAATCCATATTGTCAATAATAAGTTTGTTAGAAAGTGTTAGTTGTTTGTATGTTGTAGCATTCTTCTTAGAAGTGACAGTTGATGGTTCAGTCTCTTTTTTAATGTATTCATGTGTGATTTCCAGGTCAGTCATCTGTCTGGAGTCCCAAATATTTTGTCTCTGTATGAATTGGCAATGAGATGTTGTAAAGTGTCAGTGGAGGGCCATCTGAACGCTTAAGTTTGAATGTAACCTGATTTAATTTATGTATGTTAATTTTTTTTCATCACTTATCAAACTAGTCTTTTGGTGTCAAGAAATTATGTTCAAATTTTATTTGTCTTTTAGCATTTCTCCAATCTTTCCCTTGCTTTTGTGCATTCATCTGTTGAAAATAAGATTTCAAATTTTTAATGTTATATACATTTTGTTTATTGTCAAATATTAGTGTATAATGGAAAAACAATATTTACCATCCATTTTCCGGTTTTCTGGTGGGCAATTCTATTTAAAAAAAAAAATCAAAATTTAAATTAAGCATAAAAAAATATGTTATTGCAAAAAGTATTAAAATATAATTCAACATTTTAAAATACTATAACCATTATTTCATAAAAGAGATATGTTTTATGGCTTAATTATTTTATTATATTCAATAAAACATTAAGGATTATTAAAATTCTACCAAGCCAAAATTTCATTCAAAAATTTTTTTCGTTCGAGTATTTTTTCCTAAGAATTATTAAGAAACAAATATCATCCTAAAATATAGAATGGTTCACTCTGTCAAAGGAGCTTATCCTTGTACTGCTGTAATGGTCCACCTTTCCCTTTCCCATCACTTATTTTCTCTATTTTATGATTTCTTACAAACCTTCTCTTTCTTAATCAAGATTGCATTACCATATTGTCTTCTTCTCAAGTACTTGCATGAAGTTGACCCTCTTACTATTTTTTTGTTGGTCTAATGGCCTCCATAAAGATTTTTAAGATTTCTCTTTAGTTTTTTCAAAATCTTTTGTTTAACTGCTATACAAACAGAAACAATTGTCCTGTCAGATAAGAGAAGTAACTTCACTCTTTATGTGACTTTAAAGCCTTATAATTATTTAGTATTTTCTAAAATGATTCACTCGTAATAGTATTTGAATAGAGGATGAAAGGACAGACTACCAAACAACCATAAATTAATAGCTGAGTAGGGGTACAGGAATAGAGTAGAAGAGTGGAGATGGCCATTGATTTACAGTTGCAGTATAGGCCCTTACCAAATCCAACAATTTTTAAGGATAGGCAAAACTTGAGTAAAATTACAAAAAAAAAAAAAAAAAAAAAAAAAAAAAAGAGAAAGCTCAATTAATGGACATGACAAGAATAATAGCTTTTCAAATGGAAAATGAAGTAAAACATAGTTAAAGTACTTCTTGATGGTAGGCAGATAAAATGGTACTTCAACAAATTCGCTTTTGTATTAATACTTTTTAAAACACTGATGAGTGGGCTATTCCTTTATGTGTTTTTTTTTTTGCCTCTCTCTCTTTCATGCAACACTATTTTCACTTTACAGGAACTTCATCGCACTACCTATATTTATAAGCGCCTTCGGTTATTATGTATATAGATTTCTATAACATTAACGCTAACGTGGTTTGGTTCTTTTTTTTTTAAAAGAAACTTCGCATTTGGTGTCAATGTTTTTTTTCCATTGGTAATTTATGAGCCAAGAGATGATTCTTTTCTATTTAAAATGATTCTTCCTCATTCCATTCAAAACAACTAATTTTGCATATTTTTTGGATTGATTCTCCTCTGCTAAATGCCATCCAATTTATCCTGATACTTTAACTTGGTTCAACTAATTCAAATCAGGCCCAAACCTCCTTCATTTCTTTGATCACAGTTTGGGTTCTCTATATAATTCCATTATATGCTTAGATGATATTTTTCTCTCACTTCAGCTATTAATCCTAACCATTCCCTTAACCTCTATACCCAAACTTCCTCCACCATAATTTATCAGAGAACCAGTTGACTGAAAATACTAACTGATAGAACTCAAAATATCATTTAAAACACAACAAGATCTAGATGATGTTTTAAATTTTTGCTTGAACTGCATCCTCACCTTATTTATCATTACTTGGAATTGTGTAGGATAAATCATTTGACATCAATATTTATTAATCCCCAGTAGATCTTATCCATTCCAAATGACTTTCAAAAAACTCTTAAAAAACCACATGTATCGATAATCTTCTTCTTCTTTCTCTTTCTCTTCTGCTCTCAGGATAGAGAAGCCTCTATCCACCATAACCAGTCTTGGTTTTGTGCCAGTATATTTAGATCTCCCTTGGTTTCAATTCTTTCTCAATAGCCAGGTGATTTTCATTGAATGTATGGCCAACTGCTCTCTCATCGTCTCATTTCTGAGTCACTTAATTGCCAGAGATATCTCATTTCCATCACATTCAGGCAGCTCATATAAGGAACTACTTATGGCCACATGGAATATTGGGTACCGATAATCAGAAATTATTCCATAATGTAAAAGTATTATTCCATACTAGTTAAAAAGAACTTAACCTGATTTCATATACATTGATGCCTCCATGGAAAGGGACATTGTAGGATGTATTGTAACGAGTATGGAGAACCAGCTATTATTTGAACTTCCAGGAGAATGCTCCAAATTTACAGGATAGTTAACTGTCATTATGAATAGTCTTTATTTTATAAGATATTGTAGAAAAAAGTGCTATTTGATGTAATAGACTCGTGAAGATTCTTAGTTTCTATTGACAACCCATCACCAAACAATTCTATAATCAAAGAAATAATTAATGTATGGTGTAAAGTAAAAAAAATAAGGATCTCAGTAGTCTGAGTTTGGGTACAAGCCCACTGCAGCCTTGTGGGAAATGAAAGAGCTGATCATGCAATCCATTTAGATAGAAGTGGAGAAGAAACGTGGTGATAAAATTAAAATAATTTACCTTAAAAGACTGATAAACACTATTAGCAGAGTGGGAAAAAGAATATAAGAGCAAAGAGTGCAAACTGACAGAAGTGAAAACTAGTTGCAGTAAACGGTCCTTTAGTTCCAGAAGTTCGAGGATAGAATAACTTATACTGTGCCCCCTTATGATTGGTCAGTTTACATATGGCTGGCTACCTTCTGGAAGAACTTGATGTTTTTCAATGGAATAACATAACACAAAGTGAAACAATTTCTAGATGAATGTCCCCAATTTGAAAACAACAGGAACGAAATAGGGCTATCCAAAACATTAAGAGAAATCCTACAGAATAATGTAGAGTGAGTCACTACTTTGTTTAAATTTATGAAGTTAATAAAATACTACAAAATAATAAAAATTATGTTAAAACGCCAACTACCCTTGAGGGTAGAGGCAAGAAATGGAGAAAAAAAAATTCATATCATAATCCTATAAACCATTGGTAATTTACCACATTATCTGTTTGTAATAGCACCTATCCGTAACTTAACCCTTTAGAAAAAAATCCCAAAATACCATCCTATTTATGATTATCCCCCACCGACTTGATAATGGTTTCTGTACTGTGTCAGATGAAAAAGAGTAAAACAAATGTCAAAAAAAAAAAAAAAAAAAAAAAAATCCAGTACACCAGTGAAGTGAATGTATTTCATGTCTCATTGATTCCTCCCTCCTTACCTCTTTAAGACATTCACCCCTCTAACATAAAAATCCTTATTAATAAATTAAAATTCCTTCTTGTATTATGAACTCACCTCATATATCCTTCTAAAAACTTTTAAAAGAAGTGATTAAATTTCTAACAAATCTATGCAATTGTATACTTTCGACAATCTACTTTCCTTTTATTTGATTATGGTAGAGGCTAGACCCAAGCTAGTGATCTTCTAGGGCTATATGGTACAAAAATGGAGTGGGTGATGGCTGAAGCCTTGCAATCCACCAGTCGTTGAATGTTAATAACACCACTGTGAGGAGTAACCAGTTTTTTTAATTTATCTTTCTGTTGATGAGTAGCCGCCGTGTATGGATGGATTATGGTGAATACATGTTAGCTAGGCAAAGCCTTTCCTTTGCTTCCAGCTTCATGTTTCAAATTAAACAATGTATTTGAAATCCAATAAAACATTCACATTATTTTGGATTCTACTTAGGACATTCTATTGTTTAACAAACATGTCTATTTGCTTCCAGAAAAACTTGAAAAGTCATATAAAATTGAAGACTAGATTATGTATATACTACTGCTTTACATTTATGGAAAGTTTGAAATATTCTTGCAAAAATTCAATGTTATAATGATATATGTTACAATGATACTTTTCAGAAATAAACTTACAGCAAAATTTAAAAACTGATATATAATGCCTATAAAAAATCAAATTTTAAGTTATGGTTAAATAGAAAAGACGAAAGAATGTTTTTTTTTTAGGATTCACAGAAATTACAGATATAAGATATTTAGTAAATCCAAACCCATAATCATTTGGAAGTGATATTTACTTACCAAATATAGATTTACTCCAAAACAGTTAGAGAATTGATATGCGCCACTCTTGCATTTGGCCTCAGGCTTTACATCCAAAACAACTATAACAATAAAAACAAAAATTAAAAGTCTAATGAAAAATTAAATGAAATTACAAGAAAAGAATAGTAAACCTAAAACATTTATAGATTAAGAAGGAAGTAATAATATTTAAATCTCTGTGCTTTCATTATATGCAGAATAATTAAAATTTTATGTTTTGTACTGTAATTACAATGTGAATGGTTTGTAAATATTTTTTGTAGTAGAATATTTTTGTACAATAATTCCCTATTTATGGATGGGTTATGTTTGTCAGAAGAAAATGAGACATATTCTGACTATTTAGCTAATTAGTTAATTTATTACAGAGAAACACTACGTATACATAATCATGCACATTATATCATAATAATTGAGATCTTTTATCTTCCAGAAGATGATATGATGGAAATCACCTTCTGAAAATTTTATACTTAAGGCATTAATATAATATAATTATATAAAATTTTAGAAAAATGATTCAAAATTTTCTCAAATCTTACCATTTTTTTCTATACATGTTTTTACAGCTTTGGCCATGGGTTCTTTCCATTGGGGGTAATTTTCAAGTGGAGTATCATACTCAGCTATTAGAGCAGTTTCATTTAGCTTCATGTCAGCTGTCTGTAACAGTTGAAATGACAAAATATATTTGAAAAGTCTGTGCAAGTACAAGAAGAAAGAATGGAAATCGTTGCCTATTTATTTTATATTGCTGAAGGTGAAATCAAAACACAGTTTGAAAGTGATTTGTCATGAGGAAATGACAATTACATTTCTTCAAGAAACAACTTTATTTCATTAATTTCAAGAAGCATTTTTCAGCCAAAAATAAATGTTCTAATAGAGCTATTATAAATAATATTTAAACAAATTAGATTGCATCACATGATCGATCTCTTAACTATGTTTGTTTTTTAACATTATATATATTATTACTAGTTGTATTTATTTAATACAGAAATCAATAAAAATAATATTTTTCATCACCATCATAATCTATCCTCATTACCGCTTATGCAGTGTGAGGCTGTTTTTTGTAGAGCTTGGACCAAGTGGACCTTTCCTGTACCATCTGTGTTCCCTTCTAATCTCGCTTCAGGAACACATCTCATACACCTTCTTCCCAGGAGATTCAGGGTCTTCCTCTCGGTCTTCTCTCCTGCACACGAGTCTCATAAGCCTTCCTTGCGACTATGCTCCTATCCAAAATGTGCCCAAACCATCTTAGCTTATATTCCTCTATAACGGTTTCAACCGCTTTAACATTGAGACTGATTTGGATGGTTGTATTACGAATCCTGTCCCGCCTAGTCTTTTCTTACACCTTTCGCAGGTATTGCAAGTCAAGAATCTGAAGCTGGTTCTTAGTGAAAACCTGAACCTGCGCTTTGTAGTGAGTGTACAGGATTCAGAAGAATATGTCAGTATTGGAAGGAATACTGGTCTGTAGACCGCCATCTTCGCTTTCTTGATTTACTCTTTTTGGACGGGGACGCCTCTTCTAACTGAGCATAACATCCTTCCTGTAGGCTCCATTCTCTGCCTTACTTCTTTGTCAATATATCCATTTTCGTTGAGCTGAGCACCCAAGTATTTGAAAATCTCTACCTGCTCCAAACTCTCATTGTCGACCTTCAATACCCTCATAACTGTGTGAGGTTTTCTTCCAATGCGCATGCATTTCTTCTTCTCTAGATTTATTTAAATATTAATTCCTCTCAACTCTTCCTTTAGGGCGTTAATATTGTTCTCGAGGTCATGTTCATTCTGGGCCAATATTATGAGGTCATCTGCAAACGCCCGCATTGAGTAAAGAGTACGCTGCATATCTCTGTGACCTAACTGGAAACTCCGCATCTTCATTCTTGCTCTTCCCAGCTCCAGATCCAGAACCAGTTTGAAAATAAGAGGGCTCAGGCTGCAATCTTGAGGTGTGGCTTGTGTTGTTTCGAACTCTCGAGAGGTATGGTTTCTCGTTCTAACAAGATTTTTAGTTTTACAAACTAGGCGTTTGATAGAGTCTGGCATCCGGGACTGATGTACAAACTCCGTGAATTCCTACCACCTACATACTTCCTCATTATACGTTCCTACCTTACTGACAGATACTTCAAAGTCAATCATAACAATGCTTATTCATCTCTTTTTACTCAGTCTGCCGGTGTTCCTCAAGGTAGTATCCTAGGTCCTATCCTTTACACAGTTTATACAGCTGACATCCCAACCCAATCCAACACTGTCATCACCACCTATGCCGATGACACGTGTATCCTATCAGTTAATAACGATCCTTTAATTGCATCCCAAACTCTTCAATCACATATCACAAGCCTTGAAGAATGGTGTAAAAATTGGAGAATAAAAATAAATTCCAACAAATCCCATCAAATCACTTTTACCCTCCGTCGTAAACCTATGACCTCTTGTCCTACAGTATCCTTCAATAATACTCCACTTATTCCTGTTGAGCAAATCCGCTACTTAGGACTCCACCTTGACAAACGACTCACTTGGAACCCCCATACCAGACTGAAACGACTAGAAACCGCCCGACGTTTTCGACTACTGCAGCACTTACTAGACAAACGATCTAAGCTTTCAATCAATTATAAACGACTCGTATATATGACAATAATAAGACCTATTTGGACTTACGGAATTGAGCTTTGGGGCTCCACTAAACCATCGAATTCCTCTCGTATCCAATCCTTACAATCCAAAATCCTTCGTAAAATCCTCAACGCTCCTTACTTTGTCACAAATAAAATCATCCATAAAGACCTTAATGTTCCATATGTTTCCGATCTGGCCCAATCCAGATATCTTTCCTTCCATAACAAACTGCAGAATCATCCGAATCCTCTCGTTTCAAACCTTGCTTCCTCCTCGATCCCTGATAACCCTCCGAGGCGTCTGAAAAGAAGATGGCCTCGGGATCTTCTAATATAGAACTTTAATTTGAGTTCTACCAATGGGTAGTTTCTCTTCATGTTGTACATGCCATGTTACAAATTTCTCATTTACTTATTGTATTCTCTATGTAATACAGTTGTAAATTCCATTGAAATAAAAAAAAAAAAAAAAAAAAAAAAAAAGTTTTACAAACTGTTTACGACCATAATAAGCCCATTATTTACACCTTTCTAGAGCCTCGATTATATCAATTTTCCTCAGTCAAAGGCCTTTAAGAGATCCATGAAGCACATCAAGAGTTTTTTACCCCTCACATTTTTCACATGGTAAAAATTAAATCATATTTAAATAATAAATAATATTTTTAATAAGTATGTTTCTATTTAATCGTCTAAGTATAACTTCCATACCACTGCTATTAATTTTATAAAACATATTTTCTAGCAATAAATGAATATATTTTAAATAAACATTTATACATAAAACCAGAATTTTGATGCAGTTAAAGTTTTATTAAATATTCATATTATATAATAATTTATTTATTTAATTCAGTCCAAATTTTTAAATTACTATTTAAATAGACACCCCTTTTTTTTTTTTTTGTACCATTGTCATTTGGGTATTTATGGGCTCATTATCGAACCCAATTGGTATTTTCCTCCATTCTTCCCAAAAATTAGTTTTAAGATATTTTAGTGATGATATATTTTCAATTTACAATTGTTTTATGGGATTTAAATCTGGACTCTCAATAGGAGTTTCTAGTTCATTTAGATAATTATATAACAGCCTTCCCATGTGAAGAGAGCTTTGGGCTGAGGATTATTATCTTAGAAATTTTAATGTTTGTTCTACATCTATTTTTGCAAGCCCTTAAAGTCAATGTTAGCCCTTGCAAGCCCTTAAAGTCTATGTAAATATCACCAGGAATAAATGAGAACAATTAGGAAAACAAGCTGGACCAGATACATTTAAGTAATATTAAATAAAAATGGAGTTAAAGTAAAAGTAATTAAAAAATACCTCTCAAAAATTAAATGAATAAGAAAAATAGGTTGACTATAACAAAAATGTTTATGAGGAAACTTAAAAGGTTGCTTGGTATTATATTCATATGAAAAAAAATTAAATATCGATTGTATGAAGGAAAGCTGGAAAGGAATCTGCTGTAATGAAAGGTGAACGGTGTAGTGTTCTTGTGAATGTATGTCTGCATTTAAAGTCAGGAATTTAGCTTTTATTGATGAAGTGATCAATAAGTATATATTTAAAAGAATAAGTAAGGAATGGTGATGGCAAATATGGGTATAGAATGAAAATTCAAATTTTACCCAGATCATAATCTATAACCCTAAACTTTCCACAAAAGGGAATGGCTGCTATATAATTTTCCAACTGAACATAAAACCTCTATTCAGAGTTCTGGTTTATGGATTGAAAATATAACATCCTTGATTCACAGTTCATTAATAAAAACATAACACGAGTAAAATATATTAAAACTAAATTGAAGGAAGAATGGGAGAAAATGCTATCCCAATTGAATTCAATAATGAGCCTATAAATTCCCAAATGACTTAAAATGGCAATAAAAACAAAGGGCTACATTCAAAATATTAATTTGGACTAAAGTAAATAAATAAATTATTATATAATATGAATATCTACAAAACTTTTAGTGCATCAGAAATTTTGTTTTGTACTTAAATATTTATTTTAAATATATGTATTTCTTGTTAGGTAAATATTTTTGATAAAATTAAAAACAGTGGTACTGAAGTTATACATAAATGATTTTACAAAAAAAATAATATATATATATATATATATATATATATATATATATATATATATATATATATATATATATATATATGTAAGAAAGAAATTGTTTTTATTGATTTTTTTTAAATTTCAATCAATGCTTTTTTCAAATTGTGAAAAAATAATTTGTAACTAAATAAGTTAGTTATATTCAAGATTATTGTATAAAACCATCCAGAAATAGTTATTTAAACAAATGAAGGTAGGATTTTTAGATTATTATTTCCGATGTTTGCCCTAAGAAGAAAAGTGGAAAAACTGATAAATTCAATATATTGTTAAGCAGTTCTAAACAATTTTGGCAACAAATTAATAATTGATATAATATTTACAAGTGTAAAATTTATTAAATTGTTTTATTAGTTTGGTCCTATCTTACCACATAGAATATATGTAAAAAAGGTAGAATTTGAAATTGTCTTTAGAGCAATAGAAACAAATTGAACGTATGTTTTCAATGAATGGACTATTATAATTTAATAGAACTAGACAATTTTAAGGGAATGGATAGCTGTGGATATACAGACAGTTCTATCTTCTGTCATTTGATTAATTTTAAAAGAGGTTATTTCTGGAGTAGAATCTGTTAACACAACATTAGCAAAGACACATAGATTGATACTTAAGACATAAATTAAATGTGGTAATTTCACTTCACGCCCATACACTTTATATTATCTCCAAAATAATCTACAAGCAGTTTTTCCAAGAATGTGGTTAGTCAATGTTTGAAACAAAATAAATTTATTAGTGAAAAATAATATTACACTCTTTCATTAACTAATAGCACTCCTATCGTATATCCTCAAAGAACTAATTTTCTTTCTAAAGATAATTTTCCTCTGACATTACTGATAAAAGTTGTATGTGAAATAGACAATCTTATGATTTTTTAACTTAATTTTCAATATATTATTTTCCAGTAACATTTGTTTTTGTTATGTAAACTTTTTTAAAGAAGAAGCTTGTCCTCTGTTTAAAGTCATTTTGACCTCATGTGATTAGTGCTGAATGTTTTTTAACACTAATATCGTCATGTAATTTTGTACACAATACAATAAAGTATGGAAACTCTCTCATCTATTGATTACTCACCAACAGCTGAGTTGCTTTGTAGAAGCATTCATCCATGCACTGTAATCAAAATAGAAATTTTATTAATTACATCAAGTTTCTAAATAATCATCAAATCAAATAGCATTTACCTCATATAATTCCAGTCTTTCTTCATCTGTTAAGGCTGTATCAAAAATGAAAACAATCTTTATCAAAAATGTTATTGTTAGCATATTTTAAATTATAAGATAATAATAATAATAAAATTTTATCCGTGTAATAATTGGTTTATCGATCATTAAAATAGTTTATTTCCTGCAGTAAGTTAAATGATAACAATCTTGAGATCAAAATCAGTTTATAACTGAGGTTTACTTTGAGTCCAAATGAAATCTCTATATTTAAGATTTTTTTATTTTTACTTCAAATTAATTATATCATTTTATCAATAGCTAAGTTAACAAAACGATCGATAGTGGCACTATGCATAAGGTGTAGGTAGAATTTGAAAATGCCTTTGATAAATTAAATATAAATGCTTTTTACCAAGTTTTTTTTAAAACAATACAAATTGAAAACAAGATAAATAAAAATTTTGGCTAAACATTTATGTGCGGTGTTAGGTATTTTTACAAAATATAATATTTTTAGAAAATCAAAACTGTTAAGAAAGAATTCAGTAGGGAGGTGGGACAAGAGGAATAACTATAACCTGATGAATTTACTTCAGCTCTTCAATGTGGATATGAAAAAAATGGATTGGCATAGGAAGGTTATAACATAGTTTGAATATTAGCAGAACATGGCTAAACCATCTCCTATTTGCACATTGTCTCATTATTATGGCTAAAAATTCCGAAGATCAAGAATATTTACAGTTATCAAAATAAAATTCTCAGAAACTGGCCTACTCATTAAATGGGGCCTACCAATAAATAAGTATACATTTAAAATAGCTATTAAATAGGTAAAATTTATGCTTCTAAATTGTTAGAAAAGTACTGGAACATTCCACTCATTGTAGAATATTTAGTCAGTAAAGATTGACAATGACTCTGAAATAATAAAGATATATATACCTATTTACATGTACTTACGTGCAGTTCGATTACCAAATACAGTTTGGTCACACATTAAACCAGCAGCTTTATCTTCTTCTGTCAACAGTTCTTCATCAGGTATGTTGTTACAACACCTTTCTAATACCTGACAATAATTTCAATGTGCAATAACAGTTCAGCAATATCAAGGAAAATCTGATGTTGAAAGTATTTTTTTAGGCTTATAAAATAACTTACACGGAAGCTGTTTGGATCGTTGCATTCTACTTGATCTTCAGTACCATAGGATTCATTCTGTAAAATATAAATAGTAAAAAAAAGTCTGAATAAGATGAAGTTAGAAAAAGGAACTTCTATAGTGAAATCTGCTTTATTTTTTACGCATTAATAAAGGGATGATGTTGCAGAAAAATTTTGCCCATCAGAACTGTCTATTCTTTTCTATTTTGTTGGTGTGCTCCCTTTGTCAATAATATAGTTTTGATCTTTAACAACATCTGTGGCAACGCGTCTTGGCTAACAATTCATTGGTACCTCATTAAATTGACATGTTTATCGATCTCCAGATTGAAAAAGCCCCATTTCCCAGAATTTTCGCAAATAAAAATGTTATTAAATGAAGCCATTCAGGGAGTTATATGTTTTAAAATTTAAAATTTAGAGAATAGCTTTGTTGCAACAGTAGCTCACACTGTTTGATTTGGAACGTTCCTATAGTATACAGCGATGAGAACAAGAATGTAACTATCTGAAATGAAGAGATAGAATTTTATAATCTTCATTTTAAAATAGATGTTAACAAAAATTTATAATAAATCTAACTTCCTGTGTTTTCTGACTTGAATTTATCAGTGAATGCTGGGATGGATACTGTCAAGAAGCAGTTTCTGGCAATAGGAAGACCTAGTTTTGCTTGATTAATTTATTTTTAATATCTCTTTGTAATTAATCTGATATCTACAAGTTTATTCAATAGTATTGACCTGTCAGCTACTGGCAAAAGGCTTAATATAAGGCTCCAGTAGCTGACACCCATTAAATTTCCAATTCTTTTCACAAAATATGATAAAAACCGATAAAACATAACCTGAAAACGCTCTAAGAAAAGATAAAACAAAAAATTTAAGATCAATCAAGTAGTCAAAGGAGAAAAAGTAAACCTAAGGTATGGTGTTCTTACCTAAGGTATGTGTTGGTACACTGTCAACAATTGGTGATTTTACCCTATTTGGAGATAAAAAAACCATTTGGCCTCCATATGCTTAAATATTCACATATTCTGGAAGGATTAGGGTTGCAAGAGTTCAATGAGTAAGGTACTTGTTCCTATGCTCTGGGTCCTGGAGTATGTGAGATATTTAATGATGGTACATCAGATATGGATTAATGTTTGAGTTCAGGCAAACCTCCCAATATCTCAACATCCTATAGACCAATTAGCCTACTCCCAATCCTTTCAAAAATTTTTGAAAAGATCCTTTTGAAACGAATCCTACCCATTATAGAATCCCAAAATATTCCTTCCCATCAGTTTTGTTTTTGCTCCCAACATTCTACTGTTCAACAAGGACTCCGAGTTGTTGATCATATTTCCTCAGCCCTAGAAAACAAGGAATACTGTTCGGGTGCATTTCTGGACATTGCACAGGCATTTGACCGGGTATGGCACTCCGGACTGCTCTTCAAGCTTAAAATCCATTTACCTCAGTCCTTGTACCTAGTCCTCCGATCCTACCTCTCTGACCGCTCCTTCCGAGTTCGCTGTGGAACAGAATTTTCCAATATCTACTCCGTTAAAGCCGGTGTTCCCCAAGGCAGCGTCTTGGGTCCCGTGCTTTACATCCTCTTTACTGCTGACATCCCTGTTCATCCCGATACTTTTCTTGCAACATTCGCTGACGACACCGCAATCTTATCATCCAACTCTGATCCCAACATAGCATCCTTAAATCTCCAAAACCACCTCACCTTGATTGAGCACTGGTGTAATAACTGGCGCGTTAAAGTTAATGAATCTAAATGCCAACATATTACCTTTACACTCCGACGCAGTTCCTGTCCACCAGCACACTTTAATTCCATCCAGCTTCCTTACTCAGACACAGTCCGGTATCTTGGCTTTCATTTAGACCGAAGACTAACGTGGAACCCACATACTAGACTCAAAAGACAAGAACTCAACCGACGATACGGCCAGCTATACAGACTACTAAACAGCAAATCCAAACTTTCTATTGAAAACAAATTTCTTATCTACAAGACAATACTGAAACCTATATGGACATACGGACTTGAACTGTGGGGGACAGCAAAAGCTTCTAACATCAAACGTATTCAATCCTTTCAATCTAAAGTCCTTCGAACAATAGTTGATGCTCCGTTCTATGTAAATAACAAAATCCTACACCATGACCTTAATATCCCATTTGTCCTAGACCTTATTCCAGAAAAATTCTCCAAATTTCACCAGAACCTTACCTATCATCCAAATCCCCTTGCACAATCTCTATCCAGCACCACCCATCCTTACAATCCTCCTCGAAGGTTGAAGCGGCAGTGGCCCAGAGACCTTTTGTAAATAAGCATCTATTGGAGTTTTGGCAATGGCCAGATCCTCCACTCAAGCCCGAGTGTGTATGATTAGGTTAGTTCCTTTGTTTATATACATTTATTTTATTATATTGTATTTATTTTTATTTTATTTTATTGTATTTATTATTATTAAGTTTCTGTATTATTTATTTTTTTTTTATTGTAAATAGAGTGTGAGTGTGCTTTCTCTGATCACTATTATAAATGTCCTTGATGTGACAGAATGTAATATTTCTAAATAAACAAAAAAGTCTTAGTCTTGCACAAAAAAAAAAAATGTTTGAGTTGACTTAAACTCTGGCTTCTATAAAGTAGGTACTGTTAACTAAACCTGGCGGCCGAGCGTAGTTATTTTTTCTTATAATGGTTTAGTATACTTATTGTTAGATTTTTTTTTATTTCTAGGCTTCAATCAAGCTTTTGAGCACCTACGATGTAAGGCAGATACAAGATATACACGTTATATAGATATCTCATTGTATTATATGCACCATATTTTAAAAAGATCTTTTAAAATAGAAGGTGATTCTATGTTATTGTAAACAGTCTGTGGGCCAGACCCCTCTCCCCTACCGTACACCCCTCTCCCCCCTCCCCACATCCCTATAAATTGCATATTGTTGTGTTTCTTGTAACTATTTATCAAAAAAACTCAATTTTCTCACAAAAAAAAAAAAAGTGAACGCACTGCCCCAAAATGACGTTAAAACATGGCGGACTGAAGACAATAACTTTAGTTAGTTTTTTGGTCACTCAGAATCAGCATTTGGCTTAGTTTCGTCATAACTTGTCATTTATTAAAGCCGGATATTAAGAGAGTAATAAAACATGAAAAAATATTAAACAATAATTACCTTAGGCAATAAAAACACCAGTATAGTCAATTTTATTAACAAAAACATTTCAAGTTGAAAATCAAGCGTCGTTTGTAATTAAACGTCCAACAAAACATCTAGAGAATATATTTGTCTTTCTATAACACTGAATGATTTTTGAAATATTGGAAGCAGTTCCGTATAAAATACATTTAAGCGGCAGAAAAGCTTTTCTGGCGAAGGTGCATCCAGGTCTATATCACACAATTCAGTACTCATAAATGTTTTAGTTATAGTACTGTAATAACGTTTTTATATTATATTGGTACGTACATTATATTGGTTGTATTAACTAACAAATATTAATGCGATAATTTAATTGTAAAAAAAAAAAATTAAACAATTTTTTTTTAATTTATTATTTTATTTTATTTTTTAATTTAACTTCTTTTATTCTATACGGAAGTCTTTTAAGAAGGACCCTATTGTAAAAATGATATAATTATAATAATAAAACTTAATTCAAAAATACTTTTTTCAACGTTTGCAATTTAACACTTTGTTTAGAATATTTAATGATTCTTAGAGGTAATTTAAATTGTATATACTTCCCCGGAAATGAGTCATATTAATACCTGTTTTATAAACTAAAATAATATATACCTAATCTGAACTGCATGTAATGAATAGTTACCGGGTTGTTTAGTAAAACTCATATATCAGTAATAAAAAAATTTTTATTTCCTTTATTTTGTTCGGTTGAAACATATCATAAAAAAAAAAAAAGAAATTTTAATATTGAATGCATTATTCTCTCTGCACAAAGAAAAATGGAAAGGACAAAGCCATAAGTTCTTTTAGGTAAGCGGAACTGATTGTTAGTATTTGATTTAAAGATGAGAGGAATCGTGACATTGATCCCAAAAATCGGAAAAATACATCAAACGAACGAGAAAGGAAGTGCCGAAGAAAACATGGATCAGTATCCATTATATGGCTAAACGAATATATAGTAGACGGATGAACAGAATATTTGAAGATGCTGCTAAAAGGTTGGAGCAGTTTATATGATATTAAGAGGACGATGTTTATTATGGTGAATACCATTTTATGGTCCCTCTGTGGAGGGGTCTGACCCACTGTGCAAAACAGATTATTTGCAAAAAAACATGTTTACTGTTATGAGATTATTTTGATGTATTGTATGTGCTGAAAATATTTAATTCATTTAGACTTACCAGAAACAACGCAAATACAACGTAGAGTAAAACGAAAACACTGTAGTCCTGCATGTTCGAGCTTTCGGGTGTGAATAATTAGACATAACATTTTTATGACCTGATATATAACGAATCTGAGGTCACCTTTTGTACCATTTTTTCTTTTGACAGGATATGGTTATGTCCTTAAAGTTACGTAAAGTGAGTAATTGTCCCTATTAGCTTTTATGAAGCATCTGATTGTATCCGTGTTGTTTCATGAATGTGTTACATGGTCGGAAGCTAATTCGATAAAATTTCTTTATTACTTGGTGACATTGATCCAGAACAAAAATTAGTTTTTGTTTTTGTTTTTTTAATAAAAACTTTTATACAGGTCTGATACTTTTCTTTAATAGTGTAAATTCTTTATTCAAAATGTCATATGTTTTATTGTATAGAAAACGAAATTTTAAAAATATTTGGTAACTGAAGTCATTATCTTCGTCGAAGGTAGCTAAACAACCAAACAAATTAAATAAATTAATTTAAAAAGAAATGACCAAAAATAAGTTATTCAGAAATGACTTATATCCAAACTTCAATTGAAGCAAATGAGGATGAAAAATTAATTGGATACCATCCATACATTATCAAGACCTAATATGATGGATTAAAAATTTGATTAAACCAGTTTTTAACGAACGCTGTTTATGAGTAAAACATTAAACAGCAAATGCCATATAAAAGAAAGTTCAGTATTTTCTTACATAGTTCGTAGATAGTTCGTACCATTATCATTATTTTTTTCAAAATAAGTACTTTCACATTCAAATCATAAGATACAGGATAAGAAGTGCTATTTAAATGTTTCTTAAAATAAATCATACTTTATGTATACCAACTAGTACGGTTAAAATTTTATTCTATTCTTGATCTATGCAATACATAGTTTGGATTAAAAGATTTAGGAGAATAATACTAGTAGATTTAGTATATGAAATTAAATACTTGATATTCCGTCTTTTTCTTAGTCTCTCATCATACTTGAAATAACAATCCTTCATAACTGCGCAGTTTTTATCTGTATTATGTGGAAAAGCAATTTTGAGTTATAACATTTTTTCGGTCAGTATAGAGTGCCAAACCAATTTATTTTAGATTCCCACAAGGGATGACGTGAGATCCTTTGTGGGAAAGCCCCACCTGCCTCTGAGCCCCTCAATTTTCTTCAGTCGAAAATGTTTGCTTTACCTGGAAATAGATTTCGGGTTTGACTCGAAGTTCTGAAATTCTGTTAGCGAAAATTATGTATCGAATTGAATGAATAAGAAAAACAGAGCAATATTGTTTTTAAAGCAAGTAGCTGGTAACAATTTTAATTCAATGAGCTTTTATGTGCCTATTAAAAAAAAAAAAAAAAAAAAAAAAAAAATATATATATATAATATATATATATATATATATATATATATATATATATATATATATATATATATATATATATATATATAAATCAGCTGAATCACCTCCAAAATTACATCCTGGATCCGTTAGTGTCCTGAACAATTCTTCAGCCCATATACAGACATTTAAGCTCTTTAGGTGCTATTGAACTTTATTTAAACATGAAGGTGCCAATAGCTAAAATCAGATTGGT